GGATGACCCTAAGCAAGTCACTTAACATCATTCAGCCTCAGATACCTCATCTGTAAAATGGGGATAATAGCACCTACCTCACTGAGTTGTTGGGAGGACCAAACGAGAGGGCACATATTAAGAGCCTTGAAATCTTAAAGCCCTAGATATCTATTAACTATCGTCATTATTATTTTTACGTATAATCAGATCTTTAGAATGGCCCTCCAAAAGTGGTGAAGAATTTATACATGGATAGTATAAATAATGAAAAGGTAAATAATAAAGAATATAAATAACATATAAACCGTAAGTGAATGCAAAGGAATGTACAAAACTTGATCAATCGCCAGCTTTAGCCATCATAAAATCTTGGAGATTTCGCCATTTTCTAAATAAAGTTAGCCGTATTCAGTAAGCATCTGGCCTATTAAAATTTTTCAAACTTACTTTTTTAAGTGCCACTTTTATATACTTATAGAATCATAAAAAACTCGAGCCAGAGGGCACTCCCTCATCTTACCATTTCCCTTCCATTTTTTTTTTCAGTTGCGAATAAGCAACCACATTCCACAAACAACAAGTTATGGTGGTGACTCAGCATACCTATGAAGTTTCTTCTTGTAATCAAAACTTAGAACAAAGCTTAATGATGCATAGTTAATGATCTACACCATTTTCCTCATGTTTCATGGTAATGAGACATAAAGCATCAGCAGTTTACGTAAGTGACTGAAATTAGGGGATGTTTACAAAGCAAAACCAAATGTTTAGTTTTCCCCTTCTCCCTTTGCTAGTTTTCTCGTTTGTAAGCAAAGTTATCGTTAAACATTTTCCGACTTCCCGTGAAGCATCCCATTATCATGACTTGCAAAAACACTGGCCACTCCTGAGTAGAATTGGTTTGAGACATGCGGTTATGTGGAGTAGGGATTAGCTTTGTCTGCTTGGCCCACAGATCAGAGCTAGGAGCACTGGATGGAAAAGTGATGCCAGTGGTGTCTTGATATAAGGAAAAACTTCCCAAAAAGAGAATGGGCTGCCTGTGGAAGGAATGACTACTCCCCACCGAAGGTCTTCAAGTAGAACCTAGAGAGACATTCAGTCATATCCGGTCACATCCACTTACAGCTGGCCTCTCACATGCCTTCTTTCTCTGAGATTCTGTGCTATGCGCACACACCACTCAAGGTATTATTCTCCAAATACCTTAGGGGCTCTTAATTATGAGATAATGCTATGCTTCTAAATAGAAGGATGTTAGCTTCTTTGGCCTCAGTAAGTCAATCTCATTATTCTCATTAGTCCAAAAGCCTGATATTTTGAGATTAATAGTACTTTTTAGGGATTTTTGTTTAGATAACTGATTTTACTAGTACAGGGAATAAGGTGAGGAAAGTTCCTCTACCAACAAAGATTCCAAACTGCCTAGCATCTTAGTTTTAGAAAGTTGTCTGGGGTAACGAACTGTTAAGTGAATTGTCCAGGGTCACATAGCTAACACCTTACCATAGGCAAGACTTGAACCCAGGTCCTTCTAACTTTCCCCCCCTCTAAGAAGTATAACTGTAGGAAGCACTTTCTTCCTGCCTATGAGTAACTAGGAACCTCTTGAACTCACAAGATAGACACCAAGATATTGTTTTTCAGACATCTGTGATCTGGGAAAGAACCAGAAAGCAGAGCAGGTAGCCAGGAACCAGAGGAGGTCCTATCCCAGGCAGCCAGGAACCAGAGGTCCTACCCCAGGCACACACACGTTCTCAAGGCCATGTGCTCATAGCCTTTATAGATGCTACCTGGGAGAGGAAGGAGAGAAAAACTCTCTCTATCCCATTGGAAAATTGAGGGACACTTAACAGAGTTCCAAGAAATACACTCCAAAGAGAAGAAAGAAATGGAGAGGCAGGGACATTGGTTTCTCTGTTTAAAATTTATTGAGCAGATATCATTTCTTGGATCAACAGCCAATTCTCTTCGATATAGCCCCGTCATGGAGGACAAAGGAACTGACAAAATCAGAAGACAAGACAGAGAGAGAGAGAGAGGGAGGGAGAGACAAAGAGAAAGAGAGACAGAGAAAGAGACAGAGACAGAGAGAGACAGAGACAGAGACAGACAGAGAGAGACAGAGAGAGACAAAGACAGAGAGACAGAGACAGAGAGAGAGAGACAGAGACAGAGAGACAGAGAGACAGAGACAGAGAGAGACAGAGACAGAGAGAGACAGAGACAGAGAGAGACAGAGTCAGACAGAATAGACTAAGGTGAAAATGAAGTCTGCTTCCCAGGAGAGAACTACTGGATTACTGTTTCACATTTTAATAATTTGTCAACATACGCTTATGAGTCTTTTGCACTTTAAACATGATTTTGCAGTGGAAGAAACAATTAACTGTCATTTCTGCTATCTACTATTTCATACACTGAATAATTTCTCTAGAAGGGATGCTGTCAATCCCTTTTGGGGAGACCCTAGACATGAGCTTTTTTTGGTGTTATTGTTCAGTCACATCCAACTCTTTGTGAATCCATGGGCTATACATATCACACCAATACTGTCCATGGAGTTTTCTTGGCAAAGATACTGGAGTGCTTTACCATGTCCTTTTCCAGTAGACTAAGGTAAACAAAGGTTAAGTGAGTTGCCCAGGGTCACCCAGCTAGTAAGTATCTGAGGCTGCATCTGAATTCAGGTCTTCCTGAATTCCAAGCCCCGCACTCTATCCATTGAGCCATCTAGCTGCCCCAGACAATTAATCAATCTTCCCCAGTCCTCTGGGGTTGAGGCATAATGAGATTTATGGTGCAAGAAAAGCCTAATCCACTTTCTTTAAGGTCAGACTGCTCCAAAGACTGACTAGATATAAATATAAAGATATGGTGCATATACTTACGTATACATATGTATATATGTATATGTACATATACATACACACGTATATATATGTATATAAGCATATATATATTCCTATTGGCCATATATGTCTGTATCTGTAGTTGTTTGTTTTCTCAAAAAAAAAAAATGCACAACAATGCCACTCTTTAACTGTGTGTTAAGTCTTTAAAACATTTCTCTGAGAGGCTGGGTTCTGGGTTCTAATCCTAGCTCTGATACGTCTCATCTGTATGACCTTACGCATGCGCATGCACACCACACACACACACACACACACACACACACACACTCAGGTAACATGAGACCTGGACCTGTTACATGTGGTCTATTTGACTTCTTAAAAAGTTTCTTCAGGGGCAGCTAGGTAGAGCAGTGGATAGAGCACTGGCCCTGAAGTCAGGAGTACCTGAGTTCAAAACCAGCCTCAGACCAAACACTTGACACTTACTAGCTGTGTGACCCTGGGCAAGTCATTTAACCCCAATTGCCTTAAAAAAAAAATTTTTTTTTTTTAAGTTTCTTCAGCATCAGCTACAAACCCTACTAACCATCTCACGCGAAGACAAAATCATTAAAAATCAGGTCCTGAAAATAAGCAGCTTAGCAGCATTGAAGCCTATAATAACAAAATCCCATCGGGTGGCTTGTGAGGCAAATGTACAACCTGAGTTCCACGGCAAGCTAACTGCTGACCAGAAGAGATCACAGGATCACAGACACAGGCCTGGAAGGGACCCCAGAAGCCATTGGCAGCTTAAGTAGCTCAGTGAAAAGATTACTGAACTGGAAGTCAGTGAGACCTGAGGTTGAATCCTGTCTCAGACACTTTAATAGCTATGTGACTCTGGGCAAAGCATTTAATCTGTGCTTCAGTTTCCCCATCTGTAAAATGGGGATGATAATAACACCTACTTCCCAGAGTTGTAAAGATCACATACATACAGGGCCTTGGAAACCTCAAAGTGCTCAATAAATGTTATTGTTGTTATTGCTATCATTATCTAGTTCAGCCACCTCATTTTACAGATGAAGAAACTGAAGCCCAAGTTGGTTAAGTGAATTATCCAAGGCCACACAGATAGTAAGAATTAGAGATGGGATTAGAACTCTGGTCCTCTGACTCCAGGATCAGTGCTCTTTCCCACATACCCCATTTCCTCCCAAACATACACTTATAAAGTATCACTGCTAGGGACTTTGGGAAAACAGCTGATAACGAATGTCAGGCAATCACCAGCAGTAAATACTTCCAAATAACAGCTGTAGATCCAACCCAAAGAATAATGGAGGCATAACAAAGATGGCAGACTGTCCTTTAATCTTTCCAACCACAATCATCTTCATCAGGATATTTAAAAGTGAAAAGAAAAAAGCAAGGCATGATATTACCTATGTGTGAGCACACACCTACTCACGTACCCACCCAGACTCAGAAAATGGCTTCTCATGGATGAAAAGTACACTTAGAGAGACAGACCCCAGAGCAGGGGTCCTTAACCTGAGGTCCAGGACCTTGGATAACTATATTCAATATAATCGGGTTCCTATGTACTTTATATATTTAAAGGCATTTTTTTTCTGAGAAGGATCCACAGGCTTCCCCAGACTTGCCAATGAGCCTATGACCTAAAAATCGTCAAATGTAAGCAGAGCTCGGCTCATAATCTGTAGCATTCACTGGGGAATATAATGAATGCTTTGTATCAAGATGCTTTTAAAATGAGGGACAAGATTCTGTTGTCAGATGTGAAAGAATCTATATTGGTTTGGAAAATGTTGAGATTTCTAAAAATTTCAAAGACACACCAAGTACCACTAGAAGAATGGAATAAAAACATAATTATTAGCCTTCCAACTTCAAAACCACCATACATTGCAATTTTCCTTAGAAGTCTTTGTGTTCAATGTACCAGACATAAATAATGTGCCCAAGAAACATTATACCATGCCTTTCCTGTTTCTCGTAAAGATGGCTGACCAAGGAGATACTCACATCTCTAATGCAGTAAAAATCTGAGCTCCTACCCACCTTTCTCCTGAAGCATAAGAGATCCCAGTGAGGGGCTGGGTTAGGGGAAAGAGGGGTAGATTAAAAAGTGACAAAATGAGGGAGAAGTCTTACCAGACCATCACAATTGCTAATGGCAACAGAAGTTCCTGGGATGTCTGTTAAGTCTCCAACATAAGCACAGTTGGTCCATAAAGGTTCTCTTTTCCAAATCTGCTCTGAATGACTTCCAGGCTGACTATCATTTACATGGCTAGGTCTATCCTCAGTGACCACAGAGGTCTTATGCCACTCCACCATGGCTCCTGGTGCTACTAATTGAGTGTTTGGTTTCAGCCGGAGGTGAAAGTCTCTTCCAAAAGCTGTCACGTTGAAAAACAATTGTTCAGGGTTGGATGACACATCCCTTGGTGCTCTCTTTTTATGACTTGCAGAAAGAATGTGGGAGAGGTAGTGCCCCCGGAGGTTGGTGCTGATGGGAGTGACCAGCTCGTACTCTCTAGATGGCTTTTTTGGCAAATCTGTGGGAAGAAAAAATACAACTATAGAATTCTTTCTTGTAAAAGGAGCAAACAAGAGGGCATAATGGAGCTAGAAGTATGACACTAGCAGTCACATGCCTAACTTGACCCAAATGATATACTCCAAAAACTTCATGTGTATGTCAAATTTTTACCAACCAAACTCAGTAATAATTGCACTGAAGGAGCTTTGTATCTGACACATCCTGGGCCCAGAGTCTTGTACATACAAGGGATGGGAGCCATAAATATCTACTGAAAATTGAAAGAATGAATAATCTGTCACAAAAAAAAGAGAATTTTCCTGTGACAGAAGTAACCACCTCTAGTTTGTCTGCTATCCCAGTGTTGGCAAGAGTACTAATAGGCAAAGAACAGGTAAGAGCAGAAAAAATGAAGGAGAAAGAAAAGCAATATACAAGATCAGTATTCAGGGACTGATTAATTCAGAGTCAGCTGAGTTTTCATTTTGCACACCTAATAGAATCTCCAATGAAACATGAACCCAATTAATCACATGGGCTTTTGTATCTGAACAGTTATCTCTACTGCATGAATTCAGGGACATCAAGAGGACAGATTCTACAACTTTCCTGTTGACCACCTAAATTCCACAATTCAAAATTAATTCCTTTACCTTAAGCCAAAGAAAGCCTGTGCCTCCTCTTAAAATACAAATACCCGAGGAGAGTAAATTCAACCTTCTCAGCCTCAGTGTGAATGAACTTCCTGTTACCCCCTTGGTAACTTCATCAGCCCTCATGGATTTAACCATCATCCTGATGCAGGTATTAGAGACAGACAGACAGATAGATAGATGGATAGATGGATGGATGGATGGATGGATGGATGGATGGATGGATGGATGGATGGA